GAAATAGCTACAAGACAAGTTGAGTAATCACAGCGACCAGGAAAACCAAGGGCATTGAACGTCGAATCAGTTTGAAGAGTTGTTAGAGAACACAATGCCGCACACTACAACCGCGCGACAATTTGGATTTAAAGCTCCTATTATTAGAAAAATTTTGCCTCCGGTAGTTCTTCGATGCAGACGACCGCTCCGAGGCCCAAGTCTTTTGCACAGACTTGCTTGAGCGCTGTTTTAGGCAAATCGGAGATATCGTGACTGGAAAAAAGTACTGTTCAGTGACGAGTGTCGCTTCTCACTCTAAACGCAGCTTGTTATGGCAATCAGGTTTTGAGAGCAGAACTACTTCCTTCTTTGCCTGACACGCCGAGAGTTAGGGCATTTCAGCTACAAAAGGCCCCATGCCACTCTACCCGACCTACATAGCAATTTCTAGCAACAAAAATATTCCAGAGTTGCCCTGGCCATCTTGTAGCCCTAATATAAACCCAATTGAGCATGCATGGGATCTCATTAAATAAAAATTTTGAAGAAAAGTCCTCAAAATTGGTATTTTTGGCTCAAGGAAATTTTGCGGCATGGAGCACCTTCAATCCCGAAGTGATGAAAAAATCGAAAAAAACCACGCGGCTAAGGTTGACTAATGCGGCGCAAATAAGGACGCCATACTGGCTTTTAATTGGTAGATTTTTTGTTTTTTTTCTTTGTTTATTGAGCTTTAAATTTCTCTACTTGCTTTTTTCTTTTTTCTCCAGTGTATTTATCTAAATGATATGATGTCAGTTAGAACAAAAATCAAATCTTGTCCAAATTGAAGGTCATGAAGGCTTGAGTATTCTTTGATTTTAAATTCCTTGCTGTTTTTCCTAATCCTGCCGGCGCGTCTCGAAATTTGAAATATGATTGGACACAGGGATATTGAGTTAAACTATAATAACAGGATGTTTATAGATGAAGAAAAATTTTCAAATATTTTTAAAAGAAAAACAAAATTTATAAAACTCGCAGACAATGAACACTCTCACCTGTGCTCAAAAGATCCTGCGGCGCACCACCAGACTCCCCTTCAAGGAACTCCTTCCTCCAGACAAGAGCCTTGCTTGACTGAACTGTTTTTAAAATCGCTAATAGCCCGTTTGACAAACAGGCACGAACATCACTATTTCACATTGATTTAACTTTTAGATGACTTTGAAGCTATGGCGTGAATAAAATCGAAAGGTCAGAGCTCCTAAATCAAAATTGATTATTACACTAGTGGACAAAGTTAGGCGCAATCTCAGGTTTGTACTACCTGAAAAACTTTTTTTAAATGTCGATTTCGGATAAAGTTTCCTTCAAAATATTTTAAAATTTTTGCTTACATCAGAAGCAAATAATCAGAGCTACTCTCTATGCAACTATCCCTGTTCGGCTGCAAAGTTTATCAAAAGTTTTGGATCTGAAAACGCCAGTTTTCGTCATCTGCATGAAGTGTTTCCACCTGCGTGACTTAGTAAGGAACGTATAATTTTAGTAAAATTTTCACATTGATTGTTTTCTTTTTCTCGATGAGAAAATTTAACGCCGCATGAATACTTTTTTGCTCCGTTTTTTAAGAACAAATTTACCACGATGCAAATTTTAGAGCAGATGAAAAAAATGGCATTTTCAGACCCGGAATACAATGATGAAGGGGAACAAGGCAGAAGATGTCGGAAGATGTCGGAAGATGGAACAAGGCAACCCTGAAGCCCAACCCCTTTTTGCGGGAACAATTCAGACACTAGTCAAAGATGTACAGTCAAAGAGTAGCAGCTAATACTTAGATGATGAAAATTTAACCGATGACTACAAGGTAGTACTCTGGAACCTACAAATGTTCTAAAAGTATGACAAACTTATGGCTCAAGGATGAACACTGAAAAATGCAAACTTCGATTTTTGGGACAGACCATAACTACACAGTAGAATTCAATTTAAACTCTATTTCGATAAAAAAATGACCCGGGATAAAAATTTAAAAAAGAGCTTCTCTCCTAGGATCGATCACAAAAAGGCGAACTTTGTCGTAAAGAATTGCTCAACGAACAATTTACGAAGCTTCAAAAAATCTCGGATAATTGACAAACTAGATGCTCATTACGGTTTTTACCTTCTGAAAAGATGCTTTAGAATGCCAAAACTCCTATATTTTTTGCGTACGAGCTCTTGTTTTGAGCTAACTGGATTTTTGGAATGCTCCGACATAATACTAACAAACTCGTTGTGCAAGGTCACTAATAGGGAAACGGATTTTAGCCAGTTTTTACAAACAGTAGAAGGTGTTTTGAATGTTTCTTCCACTCGTCTACTAGCTTCAACCGCTGTCTTAGCCTCGGCACTAAGAAAATGTGGATGGAACCAATAACGATGAGCTTAAATGGTTGTCTGAAATTGAAAAAATTGAAATGGCTTCAGAAAAATAAACACAAAAATGAATGGAAGTGCCAATTTTTGACAGTGAAGCTGCTGCAGTTTGATTTTAGGCCTCAGGTGTCTTTGCAGTTTGATATTAGACTCAGCTGTCTTAGTCTCAGCAGTTGGAGCATGTGGATGGAACCAATAATGATGCGCTAAAACGGTGGTCTGGACTTGAAAAAAAGAAGAAATGGCTCCGGAAAACTCAAACCCAAAAAAATGGAAGAGCAAAATTTTGACAGCTGTTTAAAACTGGAACCAAGGGAAATTAAAAAATTCCATGCATTTCAGGTTAGACTTGGTTCCAATGGTTAAACGTGATCCCATTCAAAAAGTTAAATTTAAAAATATCGATTTAACGACTCAGAATTGCGATAAAACTTCGATCAGGCTCAAAAATTTGATGCGTATGCAGAAAAATTGTTACCGAAGATTGGCATGGCCGAAAAAGCATAGTTTATATATAACTCACACTCCGTCTGATATAGAGCCACGACACCTCTACAGGACCGATTAGAAGCAACCAGACGGTTTGGCGCTCGTTCCATGGGCTGTTGGTTAGCAGCTCCTGTGGGATGTAACTTAAAAGACTCCCCACTTGTTTACTCGGCACTATGCATACTCGGAACTATATGTGACAAAAACAACTTTCGACGAGTTTTTTTTATTTGTAATACAATATATATTTATACATATATACATATATTGAAGAAATTTTTGCTAAAAAGTAAATTTCAAACGTTTTCGCAACTATGTGCATCGTCAGGATTTTTACAATAAACTAATCTAAATGACGATAAAACATCAATTTACAAATGTTATTTACAAAAAATCACATACAATTTGGTTCTAAACCATCATGATAAAAAATTAGCCAATCACAGTTGACCTCTAAATTACTATTAAGATTAAAATACTTTTCACCTCTAAAATTAATTAAACATTTTTAAATTAATTTGTTTGGAAGTTTCTGAGTCATAATTTCGATTTAGACATGTACGTTTTAAATAAAAAACCAAAACTGTTTTGGGACTAAGTTTTCAGTGTTAACTCCCTGCTCCTAAAATCATCGCGCGTGTTCAAGCCCGGTCTCTCTTTCCTGACATGTATTGCCTCTAGTGTTAGCAATTTGTTTGGTTGTTTGACCTATCTATAATTTTCCAACTAAGATCTGCGCTATTTCCCTCGAGTTGGCATTGCTGAAGGTGGAGGCCTACCAGTGAGTCTGCTTTCTTATGTTCCTCAACTCTATTGGTAAAATGTCGAACAGTTTGTCCGACATAGGTGGAAGTGCATCCACTACATGACAGTTTATAAACCACTCTTGACAAAGTATTGGCTCTGGTTCCCTCTATATTGCACCATCAGCATTGGGGGCTTCCCATCCTTTGGTGATTGAACTGACAAACACCCTCGATGATCTTGCACAAGGAGTCTGAAGCCACCTTTGCGGACCAATTTTCAGGGTACTGATTTGTCAGCCATTGCGCCCTATTAGTTTCCATAGCCTTATCAAATTGCTCCCAGCTAGATGTACTCCTAAAAACCCTGTGTACAGTGCCTTGGATAACACTACGCTTATACTGAGTTGGGGCGCAGCTTCTATAGTTCATTATAATCCCTGTATCTGTTGGTTTTTGATACCAACTGCAAGTTACACGCCTACCCTGCGATAAATTTATGTTCAAATCCAGGAACGGCAAATTCGCCTCCGAATTAGTTTTCTCTAGAGTGAACTGCAAATTTGGATGAAGAGAATTGGCGGCATCGAGAAGACAACTCGGCTCCCCTCTGACTGTTCTAACAATGTCATCCACATACCTGAGGAACAATTTCACCTGGGGAGTATCCTTCTCCTTGTTCTTAGCTCGGCAGCAGTTTTCACAGTACCAGACTATCTCGGTTATTGATGCGTCGGTTATTTATACGTCATCGGATATTTTTCCGCATTTTAGATGATACCAGTTTCGGCAACTCTCGCGTTCAACCCCCTTTGATCTATATGTGACTTTCCTGCTGCAACATGGGCACAAGCCCTTTTTGTCATTAATTTGCTGTACCTCCGTTCCCACTGGTATTTCTTGTCTCAGAGCAAACTCGTACTCTTTCAGCCATAAGTTTGCCAGAATTACAGCGAGGAACGCGCCCATTGCTAAACCATCAACTTGTACATACCATGAATCATTACACTTGAAATATACTTTGCTGACCGCCATATTCAAAAGCCTTTTCATGGTTGCTCTTTGAATTTCAGGAGGAGACTCCTGGCTGTACAGCTTCTGTAAAGCAATTTCAATTGCCTCCTTCAGGGGAACGTTGGTGTACAAACTTTTCACATCAAGAGATATTATGGTTTCATCCGGATCTAGAGCAATGTTTTCAATTTTTTCTCTAGCCTCTTTAGTATTGGTTTCTATATTTGTTCTATCGATTTTGTCAAAAAACTTTGCAAGCATTTTGTTAAGATTCTCATACGAGCTGCCTGGAAGTGATAGTACTGGTCCTTACGTTTTTGTTTCTGAAATTATTAATTTATTTCTGATTTTAATAGAACTTTCAGAACTGAATTTTTAGAACCGAATTTTTTCAGACAAGGATTTGACTCAATGTCAGTCCTCCAATCTTTAAAAGATGCAACTTCGGTGAAAGAGAAAGAATGGAGAGAGTTGTTAGAAATGAGCATTGAAAAGTTGGAATCAGAGCTGGAGCAAACCAAAAAAGCTCTTGAAGAAGAGCAGACGCGGTTTCTAGAACTCAAGACAGACTTCAAGCATAACTATGCGCTGTTGCAAGACAAAGAAAGCAAGTGCAATGGACTACAAATGAAATTTGAGCAGATGAAAGAGGCAAACGAAAATTTGAAGAACGACTACAACGACATTTCTGAAACAAATGAAAAGTTACGATCACAAATCGACTATGAAAGGACTTCAATAGAAGAAATTCGGGTATTTTTCAAAGATTCGATTGATAGACAATCTAAAGAACACGAGCGGACGAGAAAGGAACTTGAAAAGTACTACACAGAGGAGATAGAAGTTCTACAGAAAACAAAAACTTCGTTGATGAAAGATTTAGCATTGCTTGAAGAAAATTTCAATTCGCAGAAAGATCAATACATTGCTGAACACGAGGAAAAGTTCTTTGAATTAAGAACTGAAAACGATGAGAAGTTTTCGTCAATGGAGCAAAAGATATTCACTTTAGAACTAGAGAAAGATATGCTGTTTAAGGACATGCAAACTTTGACTGCGGCTGCCAATAGCTTACAGAGAGAGCTAGAAGAAAAAGACGGTTCTAGTAATGAGTTGAAAACAAGCAAGAAGACATTGGAGCTAAAACTGAAAGATTTGCAAAAGGTGCACCAAGCCCATATAAAGCAGTCTCAATATGAACTAGCTGAAATGAACGAAAAGTTTTCTAAACAGGCCAACAATTCGGAATTCAAAATCTCAAATCTTAAAGATACGTTATCGAAAAGTGAAATGGCATGTAAAGAATTGAAAATTGAGACGAATAGTCTAAAACAGCAAGTAAATGACCAGAAAAGATCCCAACTGTCAGAAATGCAAATCAAAGACGAAGAAGTTTCGAGGCTGAAAAGTAGGTTCGAATCAGATTTGATGCAGAAAGACTCGTCGCACGAAAAGTTGTTTGATGAAAAACGTAAATTGCAACAGGAGCTGGAGCTGTGTACTATAGAGAAAGACAGATTGGCAAAAATGTTGAACGAAGAAGGAAAACATTGCCAGGAAAAGTTGGATCGAATGAAATATGACCTGAAAGTCAAAAACGAAGACTTGGAAAGGTACAGAGGTGAGATTGCAGTGAATCTTGAAAATATTCGAGCCTTACAACAAGAAATGGAACAAAAAGATTTAGACTGGAGTAGAAAATGCGAACAGATTGAAGCTTCGAGTTATGAAAAATCAGAAGCGCTCGTCAAAACGCTTTCTGAGCATCGTTCAAAAATGTCTGTTGAGATATCAGAGCTGAAGCGCGCAGTGAATGCAAAAACTCACCTAGTCCATTTACTCAAGAAAGAGAGAGATTGCAGTGTTTTAACGTTAAGAAGGCACAATTTGTCTGTAGATTTTGACATTCCTATCAAGGATTCTCAGGTTGATTTGGATGGTCTAAAGTCAATCGAATTTGAAAGGATGACCGATCAAAACGAAAACTTACGGGAAGTTATCAAAAAAATGAGAGAAGAAATGGTAAATTTCAGTAAAGAAACCGACACCAAGCACCGTCGCGAAGTGCAAAAGCTAACGAACAGAATAACGGATTTGCAACGCGAGGTGGACGAAAAAAGCTCAAAGTTGCAACAAATTCAGTCGAGCAATCGAACTTTTGAAACTGAACTGAATAAACTCAGAAGCAAAATTGAGAGCCAAAGTACTGATGAAAACGTTGACAACTCGATTGCTACAGAGAAGTTCTCAGACATGCAATATGAATTGATGACGCAAAAACGGAAATCAGCCAGTGAGATCAAGAGTTTGAAATCTCAATTGGAATTGGCAGAAGAAAAAATAGAGAAGCTTAACCATGAAAAGGAGAGTTTGTTTCATAGGTTGAGAACAGGGCAGCAAAATTCAACAAGTTTTGGTCAGTCAATGAAAAACCATGAAGCAGAGTATATAGTCCAGCTGAATAATAAGTTGAAGACTGCGGCAAAACACATAAACTATCTGGCCAAGGAGAGGCAGAGGCTCATTGCAGCTTGCAACAAACTCAGAGCTGGTTCTCTAGATGCTCCAACTAAGTCGCCAGAAGCGCAAAAAGGGGTGTTCAAATCGCGTCTGGATGAAATCCAACAGTTGCAGTACGAGCTGGCTCGGAAGCAATTAGCGGAGAATTTTGAAGGCGAGACAGGCGGTGCTGGTAGCTTCAACCAAATTTCGGTTGATGATGAGTCAAATGAGAGACCGAAAAGGATCGACTCTCCTATTTTATCCTCTTCGCGCGGCACTTCACCATCCCAGACATTAGCAAGAATGCAAAGTAATGTGAGGAGAAACATTGGACCAGAAATGCATTCTTCCTCTTCGGCAGTTGAATCAGAGCCAACTCCAGACAGAAGAAGAAAGGTGGACCAAGGTGCGGTTGATGTTATGTCATCAATCGGTGCAGAAGATACGACGCTTCAGAATATAATGAAAATGGTTGACAAGGGTCCCGAGTCATTCACACCTATGATGGCATCCTTGAACTCTTCAGATGGGACTATGTTAAACAGATTCGCATCAGGGAATCAAATCTCGGAAGCACAAGAACACCAAAGGGTTACAGAAGGAAACCATACACCAGGGAGTAAGCCTGGTCAAAACCTGGAAGTTGTTGGGAAGTCAGAATCGATTGCAGCAGAAAAAGATCGTAAACAAGTCACTATGTCACTGAAAGCCCAGGGAAAGTTAGCCGCAGCAGAAACAAGAAAGAGAGTTGTTAGAAATTATAATAACAAATCGGAGGAATAAACTTAGAAAATGCCATAGACCCAAATTTTCAACCGTATTGTATTATAGTGTTTATGATTGTACATATTTTTCTTGCCGATATCTCGTGTTAATTTACTCTTTATTGACGTTTGCTCCCCAGAATTTTTGTTTACTCTTCGAGGTAAGGTTTGAGCCTCATTTAGTATTTGACATGCTACATTTCAATTGTTGCAACGTTCAATTTTTTTTGAAGTCTATGTTAGTTGATCATTTTATAGTTTCCTGTACGAATGCTGGAACAAGTATTTTAACTGAACGCAAAATTGAATGCAAATTTGCAATGTCATCTATGGTTTTCGTCATACATCTGTTGAAGCGCAGATGCCTTAACACTTTTTTGCTACACCAACTTTCAAAAAGTTTTTCAGAGTTTCATAAATCAAAATTTGCAAACGTTATATGCGTGGCTCCAAAGGTACTCGCAGGGGCTCCAAATCTGACCTCTGATTAGAGTTACTGACATTCTCTTAGTTTCCGCGATCTGCCGATTTTCATAATTTTTCTAAAGATTTTTCAAAATTATGCTCAAAACCAAGTTTAAACTCTCAACTTTATGCTTAAGTGCTTACTGGGGTTTAGTTTAGTTTTAATTGAATTAAATGATTTTTTCTGTAAATTCCATTTACATGAAAAAATGTCAGAATAGGAGACAACAGTGCTAAAATGACATTAAAATATTAATGATAAAATGATAAATTGTAGTGGGAGTCAGCTTCTCAACAAAATTTTGTCCCAAATCGTAGAACAGCTTTTTTCAACTCAGAGAACTTTTTCAATTTATTTTGGAATCCTTAATACTACCAAAACTGCTTCAATAAGATACCTTTCTTGTGACCCCCTGCAATCTTTCCTGGAGTTCCTCACAATTGGGTGAAAAAAACGACCCAAATCAAAGCTCCTTCACGCTCTTCGAGAGTGATCAGAACAATCAAATTAAAAAATTTCATTTAAGAGTTAAATGATTATACAAAAAATATAATCTTTTTTGATTTTTTTTGGTAAAGGAAAGTGCAGTTTTATGCTGTCGGTATTTTAGAGTCGAAAATTTAAGTTGAAAATACAAAGATTTGAAACCAGGTAACTTTTGAGTTATGCCAAAGTTAGAGTTCAATTTTAAAAAACTTTGATTTCATAATTTCAGTTCGTTTGAAAGGCCTAATCTTTTGAACTTTGAAACCTTCAAAAAATCTACCTTTTTCTATATTATCTCAAAGTTTTAACTATTCAGTGAGATTTTTAGCACCTCTGCAGCCAAAAATTTAACTGAGTAGGGTTAACCTCAAACTTACTGCAAAATAATAAAGGGTGCTGAAACTAGCCGTAAAATGAATGATTTTTTAAATCGATTTGGACTATCGTTGATCCTTTTAATATATAGTGGCTTGGTGCTTATAACACACTTTTTGCGAAAGGTAGCTATGTTCACCGTGTAGAACGCTATTTTCGCTCTGTGTTTTTAAAAGAAGATCAGAGCTTTTTTCCATGTTAACAACTGTTCTAACAAAATCAGTGAATCATTTTTCAGCTTTTTTTCCTCAGTTGTGTTTGTCAAAAACTAACTAAAATTGAGCATGTTTGCGTTTTAAGAACTCGCTCCTTTTGAAGTCTGATTTTATAGTGGGATGTGTTTTTTTTGCAATTTCATTTGAATAGTTTTAGATCTTTTTTGCTTCATTCAGCTTGAAAGATAAGGGTTTCGGCTTTTTTTTATACCGATTTAGCCGATTCATGCTGCGTCCCATGAAAGAACATTTTTTAAAAATTCGTGTTTGGGTTGTGAGACTTTATTAATAAACTGAAGTTCGAAAATTTCCTGTCGTAAGTTTTTCTTCCAAAGCCAGTTCTTTTTTGCTCAACCGAAGATAGTGAGATAGTAAAACAAGCTCTACCCAGGAGGATGGGGGGCAAAGCTTAACCCAGTTAAGTTTTCGATAAAGAAATGCACCAAAAAAATTATTTCAATTTTTTTTTGCAAACTTAGCCTCATGATATGACTTATGACTCTTCAAGGTCATGTTACATCCTCATCTCAGTAACTTAGTTTCATTGAGATACATGAAAATTACTCAGAATTAATTTTTTTGTAAAAAAACGCATTTTTTTAAGTTCTGTTTTATCAATGTAGTAAGAATCAGCAAAGTCATGTTACATCCTCTGCTAACTCTATAGCTAAATCTTTTTCTATAAATGGCTTAAGCAAGAAAATTGTATTTGAAAAGTTTGCAATTTTTAAGTGTTGCTTTTTCAAGCTCATTAAAATCATTTTACATCAACTGTCCTCTCGAAAATAATCGATTGTCTCAAAATAAGTATAAACATGAAGGTTGCTCAGCTACAAGAATCAAAATTGAAAAATGTGCAGTTTTCAAACTTTGCCTCCTTATTTGTAAAATGACTCAAATCTGATTATCCTTGCGCTTATGATCTCCGTGAGGGCTTTTACTTGATCTATACTCAGTGCAACAATAACAGAAGACATGCGCATGATGACTCATACCAAATAAAATGAAGAAAACCTGAACAATGCGTTTAATTACAAAAAAAATTAATTCTGAGCAACTTTTACCTTTATGCGCTAGGTCGCTCAGAAGTTGCAAAATTGCTCAAAAGATCCTCAGCATCAAAAAAAAAGTTAAAATTCAAAAAAAAACTTTTTACCAATTTTTGCCTCATGATATGCTATATGACTCATCAAAGCATGTTACATCCTCTTATATCTCATCTATTTTTGATTTTTCGACCATAGGCATTAACAAGAAAATTGCTCAGAATTATTTTTTTTTATAGAAAAAGCATTTTTGAAGTTTTGCTTAATTTTTTTGCAGTATGACTCATCGTGGTCATGTTACATCATCTGCTATCTTATTAAATTAACTTTTTTCGACCATAGGCTAAAAGGTGAAATTTGCTCAAAATCAACAAACTTTTTGTAAAAAAAATTGCATTTTTCAAGTTTTGCTTTATCATATGTACTATGAATCATCGAAGTCATGTTACATTCTCTGCTATCTCAAAAAATAATTTTTTTTGACCATTGGCTTAAACAAAAAACAGGTCGGCTTTGAGTTTTATAATTTAAAAATTTGTATTTCTTGAGTTTTGTTTATTCATGCTCATCAAGATCAGTTTTTCATCAACTTTTATCTTGAGAATTTTTGATTGTCTCAGAATAAGTATGAAAACAAAAATTAGTTGATCAGCTAGAAAATTAAAATTGAAAAATATACAGTTTGAAAACTTTGCCTCTTTATTCGTAAAATGACCCAAATCTGATTATTTATCGTTAGGCTTATGATCTCCATTAGGTCTTTAACTTGTTATATACTTAGCGCAACATTAACAAAAGACATGAGGATGATGACTCATACTACATAAATTGGAGCAAAATTTGAACCAAGGGGTTTTCTTTAAACAAATAATTCTGAGCAACTTTCACGTTTATGCCTATGGTCGCTCAGAATTTGCAAAATAATTCTCAGAAGATGCTCAGCATCGAAAAAAAATATGTTAAAAAAACTTGTTTTTTTTTTCAAACTTTGCCTCTTGACATGAAGTATGACTCCTCAAGGTCATGTTACGTCCTCTTAGGTCTCATTAAATTTTGAATTTTTGGCCATAGGCATAAACGTGAAAGTTGCTCAGAATAAAAAAAAACGTTGTAAGAAAATGCATTGTTCAAGTTTTGCTTCCTTTTATATGATATGACTCATCATGGTAATGTTGCACCCTCTGTTATCTCATTGAATAATCATTTTTCGACCATAAGCAAGAACGTGAAATTTGCTCAGAATCAACAATTTTTTTTTGTAATAAAAATGCATTTTTCAAATTTTGCTTTCTCATAAGTCGTGTTACATCCTCTGCTTGCTATCTCAATAAATATATAGTTTTTTTTCTACCATGGACTTAAAGAAGTTGGCCAGCTTTGAAAAATGTTTTTTTTTAAACTTGCATTTTTTGATTTTGCTTAATCATTTTCATCAAAATCATTTTACATCAACTGCCATCTTGGAATTAATAATAAGTATGAACATGAAAGTTGCTTAGCTACAAAATTTAAAATTGAAAAAATATGCAGATTTCAAACTTTGCCTCTTTATTTGTAAAATGACTCAAATCTGATTATCCTAACTCTTATGATCACCATTAGTGCTTTTAATGTTTATATACTAAGCACAACATTTACAGAAGACATGACCATGATGACTCAATTTACACAAAATGAAACAACACTTGAACAATGCGTTTTTCTACAAAAAATTAATTCCCAGCATCTTTCAACTTTATGGCTATGGTCGCTCAGAAATTCCTCAGAAATTGCAAAAAAAGCCCAGAATTTGCTCAGCATCAAAAAAAATTGATTTAAAAATGTTTTTTTTTTCAAACTTTGCCTCATTATATGAATTATGACTCAAAAAGCTAGAGCAATTATCAGTCATAATTTTCTATCCCTTGTTTCCTAACTGTTTTAATGATTTTGATTGGCCTAACTGTTGTAAGAAATTCAATAAATAAACTCAGAGTTTTTTGAGGAAAATTAAAACGAAATTATGAATTCAAACGTGACAGCTCTCAATTCGTAGTTGACTCATTTGAATATTTTCCCCCAGACTTCTGAAACACCAACACCAGATAATGACTCAAAACAACCTTGCTCGGTTTTCAGTACATTAAAAGTAGTAGAAGATCACATTTTTGCAAAAACTGTCAGGGAAATTTTTCAAAGTTCAATAAAACAGATTATTCTAAGACTCCGCTAAATCCTCGGACACCTTGAACCGGCGTATTGGATCAATAATCTATGGTAAGCTACAAATATGAGGTTCTTAAACACGACCCTGCATACGAAGGAATGAAGATCTCGTTGAAAACTGTTTCTGAATCTCAACAGCTCGAGAACTACCATCGACAAGATAATATTCAAATGTTTGCAATCCAAAAGAATTAACGCAAAAAATACTGCAAAAGTATAAAAAAATTAAGTTCAAAATGTTTCACAAAAATTACAACAATTGTAACTTTAAATGATATAACCATTGTTCACAATTTTCCCATCAGAAATTATGGAAAGCGCCCTTTTATCGCTCTTTTT